GGTTCTGCTGGTCATTCATATTTGGAAACGATGGGAACAGAGGAAGCTTATCTCTGAAAATTGGCTTTTGTCTCTATCTCTGTGGCTGTTGCCTAATCTCTAGAACCAGCAAAAGGGGCTGTCAGTGGAAGAGCTACTTGGAATGCTACATTTTTTTTTTCTCGTCTATAAAAAGTAAAAGGATTGAGGCCGGCCTCCATGGGCAGCGGTTAAGTTCTCACGTTCCGCTTCAGCAGCCTGGGGTTGGCCGGTTGGGATCCTGGGTGCTGACCTACCTACACACCTCTTGTCAAGCCATGCTGTGGCAGGCATCCCACATATGAAGTAGAGGAAGATGGGCACGGATGTTAGCTCAGGGCCAGGCTTCCTCAGCAAAAAGAGGAGGATTGGGGGCAGATGTTAGCTCAGGGCTAATCTTCCTCAACAACAAAAAAAAGAAAGAAAATGGATTGATGGTGGTCTAATGCTGTTCATGTTTTCAAAAGCTGGGGGTGTGAGTTCTGTTAATACTGAAATTGATTCCTGGGAAAAAGTTTAAAACAAGTATTAAGCAGACAGTTTGGTATTTTAGAAAGGAATAAGTTGATCACAAGAACCGTAAGATAAATTTGATACCCAAATTAACTTGTTTTTTCTTCCTTTTATTTTTCAAGTAAGATTATTAGGTTATATACATAGTGTTTTTCAAGTGCAGCAAGGCTCTTGAGAAGCCTCCAATGATATCCTTGAGGATTCGATGATGAATGATGTACTAGATAATATTAAGTGAGTTTACTTCAAGGCTGGCCAAATAAATGAAACAAGGTTCTATCCTTGACCCTATCTTATTTATTTTTTGGGCAAATTATTTGACTGAAGACATAATAGCACACATTTGTCCAATTTGAATGTGACCAAAGCTGGGAGCGCTTACTAGCACTAAAATCAATCAAACTAACATGGGTTATATGATCTTGACATGCTGGAACATTAGGGGAAAAAATTAATTGAAAAACTGTGAGCTCTGATATTTTAATTAGAAAATTTAATCTGAACAGTTATGGTGTACGTACAGTTGAGAAGTCTGAAAAAGTCTTGAGCATTTCAGTTGATCTGAAGTTTACCGTAATTATAAGGTGCAATGTAACTATTGAAAAGCTTAAAATATTACCATGCTACCAGGAAAGTCGCTAGCTCCCTTAATAGAATAACTTTCTAATTCTCCAGGCTTGGCAGTGGACGGAGTCTCCAGTTATGGAGGAGTGGATGGACCTCACTGCTGTTCCCCTACCCTTTAGGAGATCCCATTGGCACCAACAAGCTGTACCCTGTATATTCTTATTCTGGAACAAGCTATAATTTAACTAAAGGCTCCAGGAAACTGGAGGGAATTTCCACACAAAGACTACCATACACAATCAGCCTCTAGAAATGGCACTTCTTAGAGAACAGAACCCTAGCTCTTCTCAGGGTCCCCTGTGGGGGTGACCTCCTGTCCAGCCAGAGGGTTATAGCTCCTTGATAACCATCCATTCGCTTCCCTATGCAGCATCTAATTTCTCCATCACCCAAGAGCCTCCAAACACTTCTAAAGACCCATAGTAGAGTAAGGAAGATGATCCGTTCCTTTTTAATTGTAGACTCCCTTCCAAGTTACAATTCTATTCCCAGGATGTTTCTTTTCCATGGATAACTGACACTACTCTGGGAATGACTACTTCATTACAATGAGACCTCAATTTCTGCTCATGTGATTGGCATTTCCTTGGCCTTAATAAGACAAAAATGTCATAATGCAATAAACTGATGTTAGTACAAGATACACACATATGAGCAGAGCGTGGATGTCCTTTCTGTCACACCATATTATTACCAGTATTAAGAAATAATGCCTCTGATTTTACAGTATACCAAATTTTTTCTTTTTTTTTTTTTTTGAGGAAGATTAGCCGAGTTAACTGCTGCCGATCCTCCTCTTTTTGCTGAGTAAGACTGGCCCTGAGCTAACATCCGTGTCCATCTTCCTGCTACTTTATATGTGGGACACGTGCCACAGCATGTTTTAGTTAGATTAGTAGTTTATTGCTATGTAAAGGTACATGGCATTGTGCCATTCTTCCCAGGAAAGTGTATCCTTACCATAGCAAATTACCTAAAGATTTTTATAGTTTAAGCCCTAATAAATTTCCTTACTCAGGACCTAGAAAATCTTCACCTAAGGTGATATTGGAAGAAAAAATGAATTCCATTCAACTACCAGTTACTGATAGCAATGCCTGAATGGCAGAGAGTGGGAGAAGTAAATGGAATAAAGAAAGGATTAGATTTCCTTATGTCTCAGGGAAGAATGTTCAGCTTATTGAAAAAGTTAACATTCAAATCTAATTTCCACATGATCATTTTATCAAGAAAAACATGGGGTAGAATGAGCCTATTGGGAAGATCTCTACCCACAGACCTCTTCAAAAAAGAATGGATACTTCTATCCTTGAAAATTGTGAATTTAAATTTTTCTAACTTAAAAAGTAATAAGACTGTTGACATACAAAGGATAGACCCTCTGATGGGTTAAAAAGTATCCCCCAAAATTCATTTCTACCCTGAACCTCAGAGCATGACCTTATTTGGAAATAGAGTCTTTGCACATATAACTTGCTAACTTTCTTGAGATGAAAACATCCTAGATTTAGAGTAGGCCCTAAATCCGATGGCTGGTATCCTTATAAGAAGAGGAGAGAATGCAAAGACATAGAGATGCAGGAAAGAAGGCCATGTGGATATCGAGGCAGAAATTGAAGTGATACAGCTACAAACCAAGGAATGCCAAGGATTACCAGAAGCCACCGGAAGCTAGGAAAACACAAGAAAAAGTTCTTCCCTGGTGTCTTGAGGGGGAACACAGCCCTGCCAACACCTTAGTTTAAAACTTCTAGCCTTCAGAACTGTGAGAAAATAAATTTCTGTTGTTTTCAAGATTTTATTTTTCCTTTTTCTCCCCCAAGCCCCCAGGTACACAGTTGTATATTTTAGTTGTGGGTCCGTCTAGTTGCGGCATATGGGATGCTGCCTCAGCATGGCTTGATGAGCGGTGCCATGTCCGTGCCCAGGATTCAAACCAGTGAAACCCTGGGCTGCCGAATCAGAGCACAAGAACTTAACCACTCGGCCACGGGCTGACCCCAAATTTCTGTTGTTTTAAACCACCAAGTTTGTGGCAATTTGTTCCAGCAGCCCTAGGAAACTCATTATAATCATCAAGGGTAAAAGAAAGGATTATAGTTCCTACAAGTCTCTTTTCTTTCCACAAACCAGTTTCAACTTCAAGAGAAAGACTGGTATACCCGTAGGTATTATAATGTAACTCTTACCCAACCCTGAGAACACCAAACTAGTGACAGAGCCTGAACCAGAACCCACATCTTCCAGACTCATTCTATGGAATAGAGCCTTCTTGGGGACTTCAGGGTTTAAGGAGAAAAGGCAAATTCTCCAACCTATGGGCCACCTAATGCTTATCAATATAATCTCCACAAACATCACTGTTTCACACAAAACGAGACAGTTGGTATCTGTGTGAGCCAAGGCCATGGACAGAGTCAAAAGGACACCAGGCCAGGAAGACTTGCTTGAACTTGAAATTGAAAGCAGGTTTGAGTCCCAGAGGCAAGAGTTCTAAAGGAATTTAATTTCTCTAGGCAAAGAGACAGACAGCTGAGAGACTGAGTAAGTGTTAGTATATAAGTGAGGGGGAAAAAAGAAGAGAGGAGACAGAAACATTTTCAGATCTAAAGTACAAAGGCAAGATCCAGAAATCATAGATCATAGCTTTATGACTAAAGTCAAAGAATTAAATCAATTCCTTTCAGACCATCAGTGGAACCTTAGGGATTCTCAACATTCACTTCTGAGACCCAGTTAGAGGAAGTAGCATAAGCCCAGACCGTCATGAGTAGCGAAGACTATATTTGGGCTGGCTGTTATCTTAATTGCCCTGAGCACCTCTCAATTCTCTTGGGTCTTATTGTCTAAAGATATTTTAGCCAGTCAATCATTCATCCAACATTCATTGAACCTCTAGAATTTGTCAAGTACTGGGGAAGCACGGTAATTTTTTTTTAAAAAAGGAAGACAGTATACACTTGTTAACAGGTATAAGAAATTCAAACATTGATAGCCAGAAGTGAAGAGCACAATAATGGTGTTTTAGGATATGCCGAAAGCACCATGAGCACCAACACCCAAGACACCTGAGTAGACGAGATGTGGCTCCAGGCAGAGAACGATACTTAAGTTGGAGAGACCCAAGTAGGAGTGGGGGCTGGGGATAGAGGCCAGGATTAGACACAGAGGAGAATAGATCCGGTGATGTAGTCGGTAATCCATTATGGGAGAAGTTGGAGGAGCTGAAAAGGAAAGATAACGTGGGCAATGAGGAGACTCAGATTCCGTACCAGGAATTCTGTTTGCAGCCCTTAGGCAGGCAACGTGTGTGAGACTATAGCAAAAGTCAAATCTCATGTCCTGTCCTAAAAATAGATCCGCCATTTTGCTGGAGGTATTTGGAATGGTGCCAAATCTTCTAATTTTCACTATGTCAGTTATCCAAATGTGGGCATATCAATTTTAAATATGGAAAAAATCTCCATACATTTAAATGTTGGCACTGTTCTAACATCGTGAGGGGAAAACAAAAGAAAATTTCATCTAACAGGGCTTGGGGCTGTCGATCAGGGATACCAGGCCCAAAAGACTATGTTGTTAGGATAGTGACATGATCAAATTTGTTTCAGAATGATTATTATAACCACTCTATACAAGACACAATTAAAGAGGGACAAAGTAGAAGTTGTGTAAATAAATAGAAGAGTAGAAGAGTGACAGTGCCGGGAAGAGGACAAGATTTGACAGCCATTGGTCACCAAATGCATTTGAAGAATAAGGAAGGGGGTAACTTATGACTCCTAGGTTTCTGGCTTGAACAGCTAGATGGAACCAAAGTACATCAAAAAGACAACTACTCACCTCTTTCTTGATACCCATAATTCTCCATTTGTAAGAAGAATAGTTAAAACCGTAATAGTAGCTGTAACGATAAAGATAATGGATGTGAAATTTTTTCAAAAAAGTAAAATATCCTAGACACTTGATATAAACATAAAAAATTGTTTTTAAGATGTCATTATATGTCCCATTCAGATTTGCTTCCAAATAATTGGGCAGGGTGGGGGGTGGGGAAGGTGGCATGGCACCTGCGGAGGAAGGGGACGATTTGAGTTTAGGTGAAAAAGATTGGCCATGAGTTAATAATTATAGAAACTGGGTGATGAATACATGGAGGTCATTTCTTCTACTTTTGTGTATGTGTGAATAGAAGGAGATTAGAACATTCCACCCCAAAATATGCCACTTTGGCATATTGGTTATTTTGAGCCTAAGGCACTTGAAAAACAGCAGATGCAGAAAGGGCTCTCTGACCTCTCCCTTTCTACCAAAAAGCAGGACATAAAATTTCCCCTGAGAAAGACGCCCTTTCAGTACCAGGAAAAGAACGTTCTTATCTCTGGAGGTGGGGAAATCACCCCAAGATAATACCCTTGTCTTCTGTGAATTTCCCCCATACATTTCCTCATCACTTTCCCACAATTTACCACCCCTAGTTCACAACCCTTTTTCTTTTGTCACACCTCCAGAATATATAATTCTTTTTTTTTCTTTTGGTGAGGAAGACTGGCCCTGAGCTAACATGTGTTGCCAATCATCCTCTTTTTGCTTGAAGAAGACTGTTGCTGAGCTAATATCCATGGCAATCCTTCTCTATTTTATATGTGGGATGCCTCCACAGCATGGCTTGATGAGCAGTGTGTAGGTCCACAACCAGGATCCAAACCCACGAACCCTGGGCCACCAAAACAGAGCACATGAACTTAACCACTACACCACTAGGCAGTCCCTGGAATTTATCATTCTTTGTTGGAATGGTATATAAGCTTTCAGGCCTATCTGTTTCTTTGGGTCTTCATTTATTTTCTATAAATCCTCCCACACTGTGTAAAAATATTAACACTAAATAAACTTTTTTATACTTTTCTCCTGTCAATCTATCTTTGCTCAGTTTAATTTTCAAGCCCAGCCACAGAACCAGAGAGAGTAAAGGAAAAGTCTTATCTTCCCCACAGAATTTTACATGGTAAAGTTCATTTGTTTTTAATGTTCCACTCAATGTGAGAAAATATTCTTGTCTCAACAAGTACCATTTTGATGATGTGGCTTCAACAAAATTCCACTGAACAAGACATCCTTTTACAGCAGATGTGTTCACAAATCCCCAACATTTAGCCATGAAAGGTGTTGTCATTTTGGTATATAGTTATTGAACTCAGGTTTCTGAATCCGAAGTATACATCCAACTGCTAGCCAATGATCTCTAAACTTTTTTGAGCACATCTGATAAAGCATATTCATTTATAAATATATACATGTGTAAATGTGTCAAAATTTATATTAGCAGTAAAGTTTATCTTATTTTAATTCTTAAACTAATAAAACAAAAATAAATGTAAGAAATTAAATCAACCTTAAAGCATTGGCACCACCTCCTTTTTCTATCTATTTCCACGAAGTTTAAATGCAGTTTAAAAAATCAAAAAGTAACGTCTGGTAAGCCCCGTGTCTTGTATGAGTAAAAAAAATTCAAAAATGAAAATGGTGGCAAAGTCATTAGAATCCTCTTGTTTTAGGACATCTGCTAGTGAAATATCATAAGATAAACAATTCAAAAAACTCTGAATTATGTTTACTTGTCCGAATCTTGTAGATATGATTCTTGCATTAGGTTTCTGGAATACATAACTTAAAGTCTCTTACATATCTAAAAATCTAAATTTGGGGGGCTCACTTCTCAACTCCATTTCAACTATTTTATCCTTTGACTTTTTTTCTCCATGTGAAACTTCTTCTCAGCTCAATGGACAATGCCTAACGGGAACACAATAAATCAGTTCCGTGCTTAGAGAATGAAATTTTTTCTAAGACTATTTTCCTTTGGAAGCACACTAATATATATGGTTTAACTTCCTAAATCATGTGAGAATATTTTGATTTATTAATGATAATAAGAAATATCCGGAGAAATCTAAATCTAAAAGAAATGATTTTTTTTTAATTCTGTTCAATCATAAAGAAGAGCAATAGAATCGAAGAACATCAGTGAGATCAAAGAATCATTGAGTATATTTCAGAGAATTCACATTTTATTGAATTTGCCAAGGAAAGGTGAACCCACTAAGTAAAAGATACTGATTTTTATGTATTTATTGTATATATATATATATATACATTTTTTTGATGAAACAAACTCTCTCTTCTTTAGTGTACATCTGTGAACAAAGCCTTAGGGCACGGAATTGGGGGCAGACCTAGAGGTTAGCATCTAAAATAGCATCTTCCTTTTATTTAGAGCCTCTAATAGAGGATTTTACACAAGAACCTCAACTCCCTAGAAAATCTTATCTGACTGAAGTCCCCATAATTAACATCTGACCTTCTCTCTCCACTAATATGTATAAGGTCTGTACTCAATCATATCTCTTGATCCCTTTCCAAATGTCCTCTTTGCTCATTGTCTGGATAACTTCTTCTTAAAGCACTTCTGCTAAGTTTTTGAAATCCCCCCAACCCCTAACAATGATACTTACTAGAAACCCTTTCACAGTTCGGGCACCCAACTCATCTTCAGTAGTGGCAAGGCAAGAAGGCTGTAGATTTAATGTCTTCCTAGAGCATTGGCAACTCATAACACCCTTTAAAAAAAATTCTTTTATCTCAAAATAGACTTAAAATCTTAAGATCTGAATACATCCAAAATCCTATTTAAATTACTCTTATTCCTGTTGTAAAGGAATTTTATCAACAGAACACACGATAACTAAATCCTTTGAACTGGGAATCCCTTGTTTGAGGCTTAGTCTAAAACTATATAGGTAGGTAGAGATATTCACATATGTAGTATTCTCTACTATGTATTGTACCATCTATGAAATAGGAAAATGTGAAAAATAACTTCAATACCCAATGCTGATATAATGACTTAAATAAATACAGTATTTCAGTCTGAGGGAATTTATGCAGATAACAGAGCTAGTTATAAAGATAATTAAGCAACATGTAAAGATGTTTGCCTAAAATAATAAGGAACAGTGTAGGGGAGGAAGAAATTTTCCTCTAACCTTCTAGATTCTTCTGGCTGGCCTAAGAATTAAATTCACATGAGAAAGATTAATAGGAGAAAATCAAATTTAATTGCATATGTATGGGAACGCCACATACATGAGAGGTTCCAAGACAGAAAAGTAAAATGAGGTATTTATGCCATCTTGAGCCAAGGAATAGAATAGGGGCCTGGGGCTTCTGAGGAGAGTAGGATAATTCACAGGATGACAAGAAGAGCAGATGTTCAGTAATCAGATTTTTCTTTTTTTCTTTGGCTAAGGAAGATTGACCTTGAGCTAACATCTGTTGCCAAACATCTTCTATTTTGTATGTGAGCCACCACCACAGCATGGCCACTGATAGACGAGTGGTGCAGGTCTGCACCTGGGAACCGAACCCGGGCTGCTGAAGTAGAATATTTCGAACTTAACTGTTAGGCCACCGGGGCTGGCCTAGTAGTAATTAGATTTTTGCTTTATCATACAGATGGGTCATAAAAAGTTATTGCTGGTAATAACTCTTATTATGGGAAAGGCCCCCAATTTAAATTCTTTAAGGGCGAGGTAAAAGTGTCTTGAGCCTGCTGGGTCTTGACTGCCTTTAGTTCAAAATATTCCACTTGTCAAAATGATACATAATTTCCCCAAGGGAGAAAAATCCAGGTGCAAGTTTCTTCTCTTAAAGGAAAAATTTAAACACATTTTCAGGAAAGAAAGGACCCTTCAAGCAAGATGTTTTTCTAGGAAATTTCTTGTTAAGCTGTGATATTTTATAAATAACTTGGCGAGAAATAGATATGGTAAATTTAACTCAACAAGAGAAGTTAATACCATTTTTGGTGGCATTCCATCAACTCCTTTTTCCTTTCCCTCTTCTTTTATTGTTATTATCATTATTATTCCCCTCCCTTGGTTTCTTCTCCTTTTTCTTTTTTTTTAAAGATTGGCACCTGAGCTAACATCTGTTGCCAATCTTTTTTTTTTTCTTCTTCTTCCCAAAGTCCCCCAGTACATAGTTGTATATTCTAGTTGTGGGTCCTTCTGGTTGTGCCATGTGGGATGCCGCCTCAACATGGCCTGATGAGCAGTGCCATGTCTACCCCCAGGATCTGAACTCTACTTTGAATTTCAGTAAACTTAAAATCATGGTTCATGGTGATGCTTTAAAATGAAGATGTCCAAACACAAAACGAAGAGTAGCATCCTGAAGCCACAGAGTTCAAACATGACTCAGAAGTTGGAGCCAAGCATGAGGCACCAACACACCCGGATATGACTGAAACTAAGTAATTGAATAATTGAATAAAGTCCTGAAGAGTCTCTGAATTCCAGAGGCTAATTAAAAAAGCAATAGCTTTGCTAGTGATGCTGTCTACATGCCACTGGTCAAACTCCAGGCTGAGCTCAGTGATGCCTGACTTGCAGGCAACCCAACATTGCACCATCATAAACGCAGGACCAGTCCTAGTTCTGTAATGGCAGTGGCTCAGCTGCCTAGCACGAATAGGCAAAAGGGCTTAGTACCAATCAAGTCAAAGTTTAAGAGGAAGAACAAACACCTCTGTTATCACCGGTGCCTTGAATAACGAAGTTCACAAAAGTATAATAGTATATAACACGGGCTATGAGTTTGCAATTGGTCTTCTATTAGCAATAACCAATGTTTCTCTTCGCTTGACTTTTGGTTTTTATTTCTCTGAATTGTCAAAGTCATAGTTACTAAATCTTCCACATACGGGATTATAGCAAAGATCCAAATGGCGACCACAGTATCACACAAACAGAAAACACCTATCTGTTCCTGAACTTCCTTTGTCTAAAGGCAATAGGGACTCAATCGCATCAAATGTAATAAACACATTTAATAATGCTGAAGATAAATGCTATTTAAAAAAAAGATATGAGCTTAGTTTCAAAAGATAATAACACGTTTCTTCTTCCTTTTTTTTTTTCTTTTTTGAGAAGATTAGCCCTGAGCTAACATCTGTGCCCATCTTCCTCTACTTTATATGTGGGACACCTGCCACAGCATGGCTTGATAAGCTGTGCATAGGTCCGTGCCCGGGATCTGAACTGCTGAACCCCTGGCTGCAAAAGCAGAACACATGAATCTAACCATTATGCCACCGGGCCCAGCCCAGGCATTTCTTCTCTTATCTATTTTAAGATATCTGAGCCTATAGAGATAATGGAGCACTTATGATGCAGATTGAATTTTTCCTTAAACTAAAGGACTGGTTCAAAAATCTTGTCAGTTTTAAGTGTTTAATATTTATCTTCCTAAAAAGCCATGTTCTGCAGTCTACCTTAAGAATGTACCTTTTGTGAAAGCAAAACTATGGCTGAAGTCTCAAGCAATCAAATGTCTTCCCAGCATATTCATCTTTTTCTCCACTTCTAAGGAATGCGTGGCAACTCAGTCTAGGCCAGCATTTCAGACAGGATCTAGAGAGAAATAAAACCCAAATCTTTCATTATCCGCATGAAAATTCCTATTCTTTTGAGGAAGAAGAGTTTTATGATGGCAGGTTCTCATCATTCCGCTGGGATCCTGCCTTGTACCTCTGGTATAAATCTCTTTGCCCTAGATTTATTCTAGTCTCTATTTGGAGTCTAGAGATATATCTCTCAGTCACGGTTCCCCCTGTGCAGCCTTTCCAAACAGATCTGACTATTGAAGTGCTCATCTCTGATTGCCACCAAGACTATTTTAAAGGTATCAAGGCTCTCAAAAAATTGTACTTATTTCTTAGCACTACTCAGTTTATGTTCAAATTTGAAACATGTCTGTCTCCCTCCCTAGACTCTAAGCTCACAGTTGTGTTCCCAATTCCCAGTACTGTGCCTGGCACAGAGTAGGAGATCCATAAGTACTTAATCCAGTGGGTGAATGAGTGAACTGTCTATCCATCAGTTAATTCCTTGATCAAATTATTTCTTCCTTTTTTCCACTTTCACTAGATGACTTTTAATTTCCTGCCATTCTCCCAAAGCACAAGTTCATGTATTGCATTAAACCCAATTTGTCCTATCTTAAACATTAACAAGATGAAGAGTTTAGGAGGTAACAATTATCAACCTTCAGTAACAATAGCTACTTTTGACCTTACCTTGTTATATGGAAAGTAAGATGTATCTCAGAGGTTACAATTAGCAGGGACTTAAAAAATCTCTAATTCTAATCTCATCTAATTCTCTCAACTGCCTCCAACTGCCACCATTCTCTCTAGCTAATGGTGTAATAGAGTCCGAGATTAGAATACTTGTGCCACAGCAGTGCTGGAAACATTTATTGGTGTCTCCCTTTACAAGGTCTTTTCCTCTCCTCTTCTTAAATTCACTTTTAACCTTTTTTTTCTGTCTTAACTGAGTCTTCCATCTCATGGCTCCAACTCATGGCTAAAGGGATTAAGGAGCCCAGATCCAGAAAAGGATAGAGGCTTTATTTCCATTTTTAACTCTATTATGCAACAGCTGGAGGATTCAAATTATTCATTCTTCAGATATCACTTAACTCTTTAAAAATGTATTGGTAATACTTAGATCAGTCTAATTCCTGAGGATGCTGGGATGATGTGTGAAATGATAACCACGAAGTATTTTTCACAAGAAGCTCTGTAAATCTGAAGTGCAGTATTATTTCCCCCGGACTCTCTATATTATTAAATCTTACTTATTATAGTCCATTTACCCCAAACTATCAGAAAAACAGCTGTATTAAGGTGTGGAGAGAATTGTTTTTGACCTACAGGAGTGATAAAAGCCAAGATACGTAATTTGATTAAGGACATCTCTAGAATAATGTAGGGATTGTGGACTCCTAGGCCAAAAACTCTGAAGAAGTATTTACCATGGATACTGACAGTACAGAGAAGTTTGGGGGTAATAGCAATTGATGAGGATTTTAGGCTGGTGTATTTTAAAACTGCAGATGAGAAGCAGGCTCTGAAGACTGGAGTTTGCTTGCCCTTTGTTGGGAAACATTTACCTTTGTGAGGGAAACCTCCATCTGTAAAGATGCCTCCTCTCTGTGCCAGGAAGAAGGGAGGTGACTTTATCTCTAGAAAGTCTGAATCAATGCCAAAGGCAAGAACTTAAATTGTTTACTGTCTGGCAACCTCATGTAACTGACATCCCCTCAAAATCCTCCTTTGTCTTTAGCTGAAGATAATATTTAAGCGGTGACTTCTGCCATTTACTCAATCCGGTTTGATTCTTATCTAAAAGTTATAGGACCACCCAATAACCAGACCCTACCGGCACTGATGTCATTTTAACAACTCTTTTTACATATTCTTCCCTTTGTCTTGTAAAGAGATAACTCACATACCTGTGCCTTAAATTTAGCCTTACTCTCCACCAATGTTGGCAGCAGAGGAGCAGCAGCAGCAGCTCCCCATGCCAACAGCAGCTCTGACTTCCCATGGGTCCTGGCCCCATGCAGCCGGTGGCAGCAGCAGTTCTGACTGCCCGTGGGTCCTGTCCCCATGCCATTCCTCACTATTCTCTAAATAAAACAGCATTACTGCCAGATCTTGAGAGTCCAAGAAATCTTTCTTTCTTTCGACTCCTTGGCTCACCGACCCCGCATCAGCAGTAATCTAAGTTTCCTTTAAAGAATGGTCAATGAACAAGGAGAGATGAGAAAAGGAAGAGTCATACCGAGCAAAATTCACTTCAAATTGCAGAAACTCAGTAAAAGTTGTATTTACAATTAAAATGCCTCTTTATCTCTACCCATAGATTGGCAGGCTACTGATTTTTTGCCTCAACAGAGACCACATGCTCCTAGTTAAAGAAAGTAGGAGAACTCAGTCAACCCTTCTGCAGGAGAGCTCAGCTAGCCCCTCCATGCTGACATTTCTCGCCAAAGTCTAATTACAAAGAGCATTTCAGAGCAAAAACTGAATATGACCTAAGTAGTTCTATGCATTTTGGCACAAATGGAGGGTAACTGTGAGCAAGATTATTCAAGAAGTGATGTTGAGTAGGCTTATTCCCAGCATTTTTTTTTTCCAAATTACAGGTAACAAACTATTAGTGGGCCATAAAATTGATTTAACTGGTTGTAACGCAAATGCAGGAAGGGCTCCCTGACCTGCCCCTTTCTGCCTGCAGTAGAGCACCCCATGTGAAAGGTATACTCCCTCTGCCAAGAAGAGAACATCTTATCACCGGAGACTGGGAGTTGACACCAAAATGGATCTGTACAAACAAACCTACTAAAATAACCCTCAGCTTCCATTGATTTCCCTCATATATATCCTAGTCACTCTCTCACAAATTACTTCCCCTAGAAGCTTAAACCCCTTTCTTTTGTCTTGTCCTTCCTCCACAATTTATCATTCTTGGCCCTAACTGCTTCTTTGGGTCTTCATTTTTCCTATGAAGGCTCCCATGTGCATGTAAAACTATTAAATAAAGTTTGTATGTTTTTCTCCTGTTAATCTGTCTTTTGTCGGTTCAATTCATAGGCCTCAGCCACAGAAC